GGCTCCTTCAAGGTGCGCGGGGAGGGCGGCCTTGCGCGTCCGCCGGGCGGCCGCGGGGCCGAGGTCGCTTCTTGGCGCCGGAGAAACTCACTTTCCATCGACACCCAGCAGACCTGGCTCCTGCCACCCTGCCTGGGGGCTGAAGCGCTTCCCAGGGAGGCTCCAAGGCAAGATTTCCCTCCCCTGCCCGGCCCGCAGCAGCGCTAAGATGGCCGAGCTCTCTCTCCTTCCAGATCCGCGGGGCCCTGAACGCGGTCAGGAGCCTCGTTGAGGAAAGCGAACGCGCTGGAAAGGGGCTGCCCCGGGCCGTCGTGACACACAGCAGCGGGAATCACGGGCAGGCGCTCGCCTGTGCTGCCCAGGCAGAAGGTAACAGCACGCCCCGACCTCCAGCCCCAGCTCAGGGAGCAGCCGGGCACCAGGCCCAGGGGCAAAGGCAGAGCTGGTTCCCGGGCAAAGGCAGCTCCAGGCACCCGGCCCTGCCCGCCCTGGAGAGCAGCAGGGCTGTCCCTCTCCTGACCCTGTGCAGGAGCTAGCATAAGCAAGGCATGGCCCACTCCTGCAGCGCAAACTGGCTGTTTGCAGCTTTTTTGGCTGGTGGATTTGCCGCCTCTTTTGTCACACAGGGATTCCTGCCTACGTGGTGGTGCCCAGAACAGCCTCGCGCTGTAAGCAAGCTGCTATTCGCAGCTATGGGGCTACACTGGTGCCGTGCGAGCCCAGTGACAAGGTAAGGCACCAGGGATACCAGCCAGGGCCCCAGCACAGGCGGACTGAGAGGCGACCATCTGCGCTTTTCCTTAGTCCAGAGCCGAGACGGCATCTCGTGTAGTCCAGGAGACAGGAGGAGTCATGGTGCACCCCAACCAGGAGCCCGCAGTGATCGCAGGGCAAGGCACGATCGCCCTGGAGGTGCTGGAGCAGGTGAGGGAAGCGCATGGCCTGGACCCAGCCCAGGGCTCTGCTCCTCATAGGCAAGGGCACAGCAAAAAGCGTGCCAGAAGCACTCCCGCTCCCTTTCTGCACAGGCACCCGAGGTAAACGCAGTCGTGGTTCCCGTCGGAGGCGGAGGAATGATTGCAGGAATAGCAGTTGCCATCAAGGTAGGCAGCAGCTCAGCAGGGAAGCAGTGGCTCCATCTCCCCGCAGGAAGGGCAGGGCTCCCAAGACAGGCAGCAGCTTTTCTCTTTAGAAATGGAGCAACCCAGCGGTGAAAATCTCTGGGGGCGTGGGGCCCGCGTGGCAGCGGCATGGCCTACTTGCCCCCCCATGCGTGCACCGACAGCAGACAGGCACACACCAGCTTGAACCCAGCGGCTCCTCCTGCTCTCCGCAGGCTTTGAGACCAGATGTGAAAGTGTTTGCTGCTGAGCCACGCAACGCCGATGACTGTTACCGGTCCAAGGTAAGGGGGGAACTGACCCCCAACCCTCACCCGCCGGATACCATCGCAGACGCGGTTAAAACCAGCATCGGACCAAACACGTGGCCCATCATCAGGGATCTGGTGGATGACGTCCTGACGGTCTCAGAGGAAGAAATCAAGGTAAACGCTGCCGGCTCCCTTCTCACAGCAGCTGCCAGCAGGCAGCTGCCTCCATCCACGCTCTGCCCCTCCACTCTCACCCCTGCACTCTCCCAGGGCAGCACACCACTGCAGCTGTGCAACACCCCCACTGTCTCCAGCTGGAAAGGGCTGGCGGAAGCTCTGCTTTCCCTTCCCAGAGCGCTGCGGAGACATGCGCACGTGTAGTGCCCTCCGCAGCCCGGGAGCAGCCTGTCCTTGCTGCTGGGATGACAGCTGCTGCTCTGTCCCGACAGCGAGCCACGCGGCTGGTGTGGGAAAGGATGAAGCTGCTGATTGAGCCAACCGCGGGCGTGGGAGTGGCGGCCGTGCTCTCGGAACGCTTCCAAGCAGTCCCCCGGGATGTGCAGAACGTTTGCATCGTGCTGTGCGGGGGAAACGTGGACCTGAGCTCCCTGACCTGGCTCACAGACCTCCCTGGGAAAGCGGAATGAGAACAGACCGGTGGCTCAAGCGATGGAAACCTCACTCTGAATTTGTACCGTCTGGTTTGTGCGCGACTAAAACCAGATAATTCCCTGCAAACGTTTGGAAGTTTTTTGTGGAGGGACAAGGGAACCTGGCGTTGGTCTCTACAGCACAGAGTCGTTTGGTTCCACAGCAAAGGGTCACTACAGGGGGGCCTGGAAACAAAGCATTGCCTGTTCCCCCCTCCCCAGCTGCCCTGCTCTGGGACAGGCTTCCAGTGAGCTGCGCTCAGTCACTCTCCCCAGCTGCCACTTTGCCTTTCCTTCTCAGCGTCACAAGAACTTCCAAACTCCTATCCTTGAGACAGCAAAACCCCCCCCCCGGCGGCAGGGCCAGCCCCAATGGGCCAAGAGGTTCACCACACAAGGGGTGCGCACAGCCTCCCCGTTTGGCCACCACCAAGACAGAGGCAGGCAGATGTTTTTGAAAAGGTTTTCCATTAAAATAAATAGCTGTAGCTGGTACCTGAGCAGCAGCTGGCGAGACAGCCACCCCTGTACAGACCCCAGCAGTAATACGTCCAAGCCATCGCCGCTGTCCTCGCTGTGGGTGGGCTGAGAACAGCATCGGTGGAGCTAAGGCACAAACTGCATTAGCCACGCCGGAGACTTAGTCCATTTCCACCTCCTGCACCGGCACCGCACTCTCGCTCCTCACCCACGGCACGGGCTCTGGAACATGGGGGTCGTAAGTCCATTTAGGAAAGAC